GTGCACCGAGGCGTGGTGTAAAGGTTAGCAAGCTTTTCTTGCTAGATCAGGTACTACTAAAAAGTGAGTGCGATTCTCACTGGATGCCCCATACTTTCGGCCTTGTGCCACATCTAAGCAACGCTTGGAAAATCTCTACCTGTCATCCTGTTTGCTTCAAGCGTGCTCCTCTCCAGTGCAGCTGTGTCGAAAGGCCAGTTTCTATGTCTGAGAGTGGGGGCTCCGTTGACATCAAACTGAGGTACATTTCTGCGCTTGGTAGCTAGGACTTCACACAAGTGAACCCGCTGATGCACCTGGCTTCTCTGATGGTCTCTGATTGCAAAGTTTATTTTGTCATCGTCTCAGGCCAGTTACATAATGCATTCATGTTGATGCAGCCTGAAAAGTGAAAGCGTTCTTCTTCTTCTATGAACCGTGTCCCTTCAGGACGTGGTCTATCATGGCTCTCCACAATTTCTCGAGGTTTATATTTCGTAAATTTTGTCTTTTCTCTGTCTTTCCTAATCCCTGTCTTGACAACCATTTACATGAGCTGTCCTCTGCTTCAATATGTCATATCATTGTCAAATTTTCCAAGCCCTCTTTCCTACAGGTCATTTTGGATCCTTTTCTGGTCTTCTTCATTAGTAATTCTGTTGAAAAAATCCTCGAGCGTCTGGGTGATATGAGCTTGTAGCCGCTGTTTTATACAACGATTATACTGGATTCTCTCTCAGACAAGGGAGTGTCCTGCTTTCTCTGCGACCAGACGAGCTCTCCTTGAATTGACGAGAAGTCTTGGTGCCAAGCCTGAAGGGATGAGTAGTAGGTCTCTGCATCGGTGTAGGAATGTCAGATGGTTCGATATTCGTGCCAGTTTTTGGTAGGATTTTTGAATTTGTCTCCATAGTTTTGGTATATCGGGTCCGTACATTATTTACATTATTCGGACTATTGTCCTCATCTTGTCGCCATATTTATCACAACGTTTCGGCCGTTGTACGCTCCGGCCTTCTTCAGGTGGTTGGAATGTCGAACTGAACCCTTTATTTCGCTCACTGGGGTAGACTGTTCTAGTTCCACGTGCCATGTTTGATGGATGCCAGTTATCAGTTATCTCCTGTTAAATTCCCTCTGAAAGTTCTCCACTGCCTTAACCAGGTATTGAACTCACACTCTCAAGGACACATGGCACAGTGGATAAAGGCGTTGGTTAGATCCAGTGACAGGATCCAAAGATGCAGAGACCTACAACTCATCCCTTCAGGCTTGGCACCAAGACTTCCCGTCAATTCAAGGAGAGCTCGTCGAGTCGCAGAGAAAGCGGGACACGCCCTTGTCCGAGAGAGAATCCAGTACAATCGTTGGATAAAACAGCGGCTACATGCTCATATCTCCCAGACGCTCGAGTATTTCTTCAACAGAATTACTAATGAAGAAGACCAGAGAAGGATCCAAAATGACCTGGATAAATCCTTCAGACACGAACCCTCTTTCCTCATTATGTGTCGTAGACATTTCACCTGCCTCGTTCTGATGTTAATAATAAGCGTCCCTTTCGTTTCCCTTTTCATCATTTTTCACATGTTTAGTCCATAGTATTCTCAGAGTCCTTTTGTAGAACACCATTTCTGTTGCCCCAAGTCTCCTCTTCATCCGTGATGAGATTGTCCAGCATTTTCCTGTTTCTTCATACTTTGCTTAGCTTTTAGAAAGCCTCTTTCTCTATCCCAATGCACCTTCGGATTTCAGTGTCGTATTTTCCATGTTAAAACACTTCCTTTAAATATTTACATTTGCTTCGTTTTGGCCTCCTCAATTTTTAATTCACACTCTTCTTTTTTGCTGACAATGTACATTCTGTCTTCTTACAATTGACATTTAGTCCTTTCTTCTCTCTTTCCTTTACAACCTTCTAAAGGCATTTCTGTATTCTCCTTTCTGTGTCTTCTATAAACGCTGTGTCATCAGCATATCTATTTTTTAAAGATTTATTGCCGCCAATATTGAATCCTGATAGGAATTCAAATTCTCTCAGGATCATTTCACTGTAAAGGAACAGTGAGAATACTAATCCTTGTTTTATACCGCTTTCTATTTCTACATATTTATTGAATGCATTCTCTATCCTGATGCAGGCGGTTTGCACACAGTATACGTCCTGGATTATTCTCTTCTCCCTTCAGCTATGTATTAGGTTGGTGCAAAAATAATGACGTAATAATGTCGTTTTTTGACGTTAAAAAATACGTCAAAAAACGACATTATTACGTCATTATTTTTGCACCAACCTAATATTAATTAGTGGGACTGTTATTATCTAAAACAATTCTAGCAATCTAAATATATCTTCTTTTTCCTGCAAAGGGTTACCAAGCCGTAAAAAAAAAAAACGAATGAATCAATTATTTTTTGCTTCCGTCACATGTTTATACAAAAGAACAGCAAAAAGAATAAAGAAGAATTGACAAATCTGAGGAAGATGCGAAGAATAAAATTAAATTAAGAATTAAAGACAATGATATAAAAAAAAAAAAATAAACCATTCCTTACCCGTCTTTGGGGCAGATATAGAGGTTTATCCCTTGTTTCTGGTCTAGGATTGTGTTTCCGGTTCCTTCTCATAAAGTCTTCGCATTCTCTTTTTCTCCCAGTAACACTTTGCGTCTTAGTGGCATTATCACCTTACTTGGAGGTGAAGTGATTAAAATATACCAAAAGACGAAATATATACACATTCTTTTTCTTATTCATTATATTCATTTCAATTTCACATGTGGCCACATTAATGGGTCATCTGTGCGGGTCACACTCACTATACGAGTAATTCCCAAAAATTTATCTTACTCATGCCGAACTTTAGAGCATATAGAAATGCTTCAGTCTCCTTTTTACATAAACCTCATCCGGCCAACTACGAAACTAAGGATCCCCAACCCAATATAACCCGGCTTAATCTGTCTTCATGCACTTCTTGTTATCCAACATATACAACGTGTCGATACTTTATCGAAATCAATCATCTTATTCGCTTGTAGCTGACAGCCATATATGAACTTTATTACGAATTTCAGTTGGAAATTTTCAAATTTTCAAATGTAATCATACTTTTTTCCCTGCGCACTTAATTTCATCTTGAAGAATACCAGTGCACCGTGGCGCCCAGTTTAAACAGCAGAGCACTACTCTGGTAAACTACTTCTGAGACATGAACTGACTTACCGCCACGCTACGCAAACTACAAAGAAAGTTACGACTGATGCTGGGCTGAATTCAAAATGCGTAAAAATGAAAGAGTATATATGGATGGATTTTAACGAATTGAAAGAAAAATGTAACGGTTAATTAGCGCAAATTAATGAGAGAAAAGAAGTAAAGAAAAAAAAGAAGAGAAGTACAAATAACAATAGACGAAACAAATGAGTTAAGGAAGGGAGGAAATGAAGGAAGGAAGGTAGGAAATAAAGAAAGGAAGGAAGGAAATGAAGAAATGAAGGAAGGAAGGAAGGAAGGAAGGAAGGGAAGAAAGGAAGGAAGGAAGGAAGAAGTAAAGCAAGGAAATGAAGGAAGGAAGGAAGGAAGGAAGGAAGGAAGGAAGGAAGGAAGGGAAGAAAGGAAGGAAGGAAGAAGTAAAGCAAGGAAATGAAGGAAGAAAGGAAGGAAGGAAATGAAGGAAGGAAGAGAGGAAGAAAGAAAGGAAGGAAAGAAATGAAGAAAGGAAGGGAGGAAGAAAGAAAGGAAGGAAAGAAATAAAGAAAGGAAGGAAGGAAGGAATAAAGGAAGGAAGGAAAGCAGAAAGGAAGGAAAGAAGAAAGGAAGGAAATGAAGGAAGGAAGAAATGATGGAAGGAAAGAAAGGAATGAAGGAATGAAATGAAGAAAGGAAGAAAGGAAGGAAGGAAATGAAGAAAGGAAGGAAGGAAATGAAGAAAAGAAGGAAGGAAATGAAGGAAGGAAAGGAGAAAGAAAGGAAGGAAAAAATGAAGAAAGGAAGGAAATGAATGAAGGAAGGAAGGAAATGAAGAAAAAGAAATGAAGGAATGGGGGAAGGAAATGAAGGAAGGAAGAAAGGATGGAAGGAAATGAAGGAAGGGAGGAAATGAAGGAAGGAAGGGAGGAATAAAAAAGGAAAGAAAGAAATGAAGGAAGGAAGGAAATGAAGGAAGGATGGAAATAAGGAAGGAAATAAAGAAAGAAAGAAAGAAAGAAAGAAAGAAAGAAAGAAAGAAAGGAAATGAAGGAAGGAAGAAAAGAAGGAAGGAAATGAAGAAAGGAAGGAAGGAAATGAATGAAGGGAGAAAAGAAGGAAATGAAAAAAGAAAGGAAGGAAGAAAGAAAAAAAGAAATGAAATGAAGGAAGACAGGCAGGAAGGAAGGAAGAAAGAAAGGAAATGAAGGAAGGAAGAAAAGCAGGAAGAAAATGAAGAAAGGAAGGAAAGAAGGAAATGAAGGAAGGAAGGTAGGAAGGAAATGAAGGAAGGAAGAAAGGAAGGAAGGAAATGAAGAAAGGAAGAAATGAAGGATGGAAGGGAGGAAGAAAAAAAGGAAGGAAAGTAATGAAGAAAGGAAGAAAAGAAGGATTGAAGGAAGGAAATGAAGGAAGGAAGGAAGGAAATGAAGGAAGGAAATGAAGGAAGGAAGAAAGAAAGGAAGAAATGAAGAAAGGAAATGAAGGAAGGAAGGAAATGAAGGAAGGAAGGAAGGAATGAAGGAAGGAAGGGAGGAATACGAGGAAGGAAGTAGGGAGAGAAATCAACAAAGAATGTAAGAACGAAGGCAGAAAAGAAAGAAAGAAAGAAAGAAAGAAAGAAAGAAAGAAAGAAAGAAAGAATAAATGTAGGAAATAAAAAGGACAAAAACAATTACGAAAGAAAGAAACAAAGAAAAAGAATCAATGAATGCAGTAGAGAATAAATGAAAGAAAGAATAAATTCAGGAAAGAAAACGGAAAAGCAATTAAGAAAGAAAGAAAGAAAGAACGAAAGAAAGAAAGATGCTGGATAAAAAGAACAAAATCAATTACGGTTGAAAAAACGAAAGGAGGAAAGATGAATGAATGCAGTAATTAAAGAAAGAACAAATAACTGCACGAAAGAAAAAAGAACAAAAAATCACAAAATAAATAAAGAATGAGATGCGGTAAAAAAAAGAAAGAAAGAAAGAAAGAAAGAAAGGTAAAGAAAAATAAAGATAGAAAGAACAAATAAATGCAAGAAAGAAAAAAAACAAAAAATTACGAAGAAAAGAAACAGAGAATGAAAGAAAGAAAGAAAGAAAGAAAGAAAGAAAGAAAGAAGGAAAGAAAGGTGATAAGAAAATAAAAATTAATGAAGGGAATGGAAGAAGAAAAATGTATAAAAGAAGAAAGTAAAGAAAGTCGCGAATTAAAGAAGGATAAGTGGGAAAAGAGAAATAGAGGAGAATGGAGAACAATAGAAGCGCCCGCAAAGCAAAGAGGTAGAAAAAGAGAAGACAAATGTTGCAGGCGATCATTGTCAGAAAGAGGAAAAACAAGCAATCAAAACAGTAACCTGTTCAAATGCTTTATTACTGCGTTCTAAAGGCATTATTCAACCTGTCGCTTCTTCCGGTCGCTTTAACTTTCCGCACGCCTTATTTATCCGCCATTGTTTATTCAACACAAAGCGGCTTTCTTTTCGCAGGGCCGAGAAAACAATCGTCCCCTCCGACTTCAATCACGCTTTCACCATCGTCACCGTCACAGCCACTCGGAAAACTTCTTCATCTTTTCTCTTCATTCTTAATTGCTCAATTTACCTCTACTTAGGAGTAGCTTAACTTCGTTAGTAAGACGCTGACAGCTGAGTATTGTACACAGATGTTTACATAAAACATAACTATGACAAAAATCAAGAAAAGTAGCGGGAACAAAGAAAAGCAAAAATAAAAAGTCATAACACAAATAAACCAATATAAGCTAAAGCGATCGAAAATTTAGTGGATGTACAGGTTTCTTAAGTAAAAATACATACATAATCTAGTCTCTTTAGCTTTCTTTACTGACGTACGGGCTGTGACGAAGGAGATTGTTATTGAGAGAAAGAGTGTAGTTAAAAGTAATTGCGCATGCGCATACTTGCATCTTTCTTTTTCTGTGTACTTGTCAGTTAGTGTGTCTGTGCGCGTGTCAGTGTTGAAGCGGTTGCCTCGAAGCAGCATAAATGGATTTGCGACTATGTACATCCTGGTATTTGTTTGGCTTATCCAATTCAACTTAAGCTGACAATTTCATAGAAGACTGTATACCACCAAATCGACTAAAAAATTGAAATATCTTAGTGCCAAACATAACATTGCTGATACGAAAGTTGACTTTTATGGGCTTTTCTTTTTCAATTTCATTCCATTTTTGGCAAAGGAGAATCAAATTTTAAGTAGAAGTATGAATTTTAAATTTTCATATTTACATGTGCTTTATTATTTCGTTCTTTTTCTCTTATTTTTGCGCTGTTTTTTAAAAATGTTTTCAATGAGTTCTCCGGCAAGTTTCTAGATTACAAAGAATAAATAATTCTCTATCTTCATTTGCCCAGGTCTCTTCTACATCTGCAATGATATTGTCCACCATTCACTATACAACAGAGTAATCCTTTCTTTGCCTTTGCATCTGTTCGAATATCTATCTATCTATCTATCTATCTATCTATATATATATATATATATATATATATATATATATATAGATATATATATATTTATGGTAAAGGTAACAACTCTGTTGGTATATAATCCAAGTGGATCCTAGTAATATAAAATATTACAACTAATCCACATAAAGAGTTCAATGTACTTATTATTATAGAGCAAATAATTAATGAACAATAAAATCCAAAATCAACTCCGTGGGGAATAACATATTTCATTTCGCCCGATGAAAGCACTGGTCGTCTGTCTCATCAAACCCAGCGTTGACTGAATTCGTGTCAGAAATAGAAATTAAACTCTGAAGCATAAACAAAAAGCCCAAAAATTAATACAGAATTTATCCATTTCAATGTTTCAGTCAGACTAAGGTACGAGAAAGGGTTGGGAGAGAAATTTTACAAAATAAAGTCATATATTAAACTTATGACATTAAAAGAGAAATAAAAAGCAGTTTAAAAATAACTTTAAAACTTATAGGTAAAAGATGTAAAGAATTAATGGAAAAAAGGGTTGGGCAGAAACTAGACTAGGGGAAAGTTTATGAATTAAAAATATAGTGTAAAGAGGTGGGGAAATAGAAAATGTTATACTTTCGACATTTAGAGGAGGAGTAAATATTATAGAAATATAGTAGCTAATTAAGTCAAACTTAATTAGCTAATTACTTTCTGACACGAACTCAGTCCACGCCGAGGTTAATGAAACAAACGACTAGTCTTTTCGTCTTCCGAAAAAAGTTATTCCCCACATGAGGTGATTTTGGATTTTATTGTTAATGATATATATATATATATATATATATATATATATATATATATATATATATATATATATATTTAAAAGAAAAACAGACCACTTTAATGTACCATTATAATAATTTATTTCACCAGAGCCCTTTTAAAAGACGCCGGATCATCAGATAGCACTTCCAAAAACGAAAATTGAGCTCTCAGGATTTCATCCTCCTTGGGATTATCCATACGGATTACCAAGTTCTTCATGACTTAATTATATATATATATATATATATATATATATATATATATATATATATATATATATATATATGTATAGTTTTATGGTATGGTATATTTATGGGTTAAAGTGTTCAATATCAGGGATTAAGCGTATGTAAATATAAAAGTAGATAGTGTAGTTAACACCTATCATCAACTTTCTGTTCCATACCTAAGCGCAATCTTCAGGCCATGTTTGCGTTTAAGTATGAAACAGACTGTATCCGTTGGGTATAATATTTACGTTGTCTTTGTTAGAAATATGTTTCTTTAATGTAATGTTATGCTGGAATATGATTTTCTCTATGTTA